TGGTTCAGCCCTCCTTAGGCAACCTGGTGGTCCCCGCTCCTGGGAGGTCACCATATTGATGCCGAACTCAGTGCGGACACCTGATCGGCATAGCGCAATGCAGCCCAGAACTCCTGGGCTCAAGCGATCCTCCCACCTCAGTCTCCCGAGTAGCTGGGACTACAGGCACGCGCCACCGCAACCGGCCATTTGAGGTTTTCATACTTTTATTTTTGAATGCTAATAAATTGATTGCCAAAAAAGTGAGTACCAAGGTCTATATCAGACAAGAAAATATTATGCTAGCTGCTTGTTATCAAAGATCAATTTAACAAATATTATTGAATCATTACAAAGTATATATAGGCGAAGACCTAAAATACACTGTGTATCAACTGAACAAATAAACAGGGGACTTATCATCTCCTACTATTTGTGAAGCTATCTTTTGTGAACTTGCTTCAAAACAGTTGTTGAAAAAGTTTAAGTGTCAGGGGAGTGCTCTAAAATTATTTTCAACAGGATAACTATAAGCGTCTAATGGGAGAATCTGCCAGATAATCTGAAAAATGTCCCGATGTAAATTAAACTGAAAGTCTAAAGATATTACATAAGAAACTACTAAAATCTTAAAATAATGTTCACTATTTTACTCTTCATAGTAAAATGAACCAGAGTAAACCAGTTACGGAGCCGGAAGGTAATGAATGATCTTACGAAAAAAAAAAATAGCAAAACTGAACCAAATCAAACCCTTACCTCCAAATACCAGGGCTCTTAAGTAAGGCAAATGTGCTTTTTAAACATCCAAACAAAACCTACTTCTAAAAAAGAACATGATTAATATTAGCCATAAACTGGGACTGTGCCAGGCAAACCAGAATGTATGGTTTCCTGCTTAATAAGACACATGTCCCAAGCCATCCTGTCCTAAGATCACAAAAACAGGAAGCATGAGGGAGCTCAAAGCACAGAAATAAACAAGATTAAAAAAAAAACTCTCACAAAGTAAGTTTTCCTCAATTTTACAAATCAATTTGCATTAATAATATCTTAAGTAAGGGTAAGAGGGAGGGGGAACAGGTATGCTAAAAAAAAAAAAAAGAGGACTGGCTGAATAAATTTAGGAAGCAGTCAGAGTCCAGATTCCCTCCCCTATCCCAGCAAAACACTGGAAGTTTATTTTCTTAAGAACATAAAACAGCGGTTCTCTGCACAGGGGACCTTGGGCACAGGTGAGAAGAACATATACTATGCTGAAAACAAGAGCTCGGGTGAATGCATATACACAGATGCTGAATGCAGTGATACTCCCCCACCCCAATCCTTCCTCCCCTACTTGGTTCCCAGAATGTCAGCAGCAAGGCCTTCATTCTCAAGGCAAGAGACGTGATTCTCTGAGGAATCTGAACATCCTAAGAAGGAAGACCTAAAGTAATTGAGTAGAAGATTCCTCAACCAAACAGCCCAGCCAGGCAACTCTATTGTGGAATTCACTGTTGGTAAGCCCCACTCCTATGCTCATGACTTCCAATTAGCCTTTTTGTTCCTTACTATTAAATATGAGCACACAAACAAAAATGTCCAGATACTTAATGAAAGACTCTAATATAAAAGACAGAGACAAAGAAATAGATAAAAGCTGTTATAGGGAAGTAATTTTTTTCTTTTTCTTTTTAATATACCAAGTGGTCAGAGAGAAAAGTAAAATTTAAAAAAAATCTGTAAGTATCTTTCTTACAGAGATAAGACATATTAGAACTATGTAATAAGAGCAGGATACTATAACATGCAGAGAAAAAAAATTTTTGAAATAATAAACTCAGAGAGTTTTTAAAAGATAAATCTCAGAAAATCTGCACATAAAGTAGAGCAAAATGTAAAAGTGGTGACTGACTGGAGAGAAAAAATAAGAAAGTCAGAAACCTAACATCCAAGTCATGGGTGTTCCAAAATATAATGGGAAAAATCATCAATAAAAAATTTACGAAAAAATTTTAGAACCAAAGAATAGGAAGAATTCAAAGAATCTTAAAAGAATGAGCAAAATGCATTAAAAGAAACCCATGCCAAGGCAGATTACTATGAAATTTCAGAATCCCACTATAAAGGAAAGAACCTGAAAGTTTTCAGGATAAAACAGGTCTCAAAGGATAGGAACTGAATGGAATCAGTCTTACCAACAGCAACACTGGAAATGGGAAAGTGAAGTAAAATGGAGGCAAAGTACAATTCTGCAGAAAAATTCTTTCCAACCAGAATTCTATACTCAGTCAAATTACTAATCAAGTATGAGGGAAACATAAAGACATTTTCAGATATGCAAAGTCTAAAACATCTGCCACTCATGCAAGCTTTCTCAGGAAACTATCAGGGAATTAACACCACAAAAATGAGGGAATGGACCAAGAAAGAGCAAGAAATGGAATACAGGAGACAGGAAATCCAACATAGTGAGAGGTGAAGGAGAACCCAGGAAGGCAGCCATAAAACTGGATGTCAAGAACAACTAGTTCAGATGGGAAGCTTAAGACGACAAAATGGATAGAACACCTAAAGCCTCTAAATGTCTTGACAGAATCAGATGACTGGTGAAAAAGTAAACAAAAGAAACAAGACAATTAACTCTGAAAAGATTTTTAAAACATGCAGAGAAAAACAAAAACAGGAACAGGAAAAGTGATCATAGTTTACCATGTGGCTCCTAATGTGAAAAGCATTTACATAATCATAATAATGTAAATATTAATATGGATGGAACAGAAATAAGATAAAGTTCATTTTGAGAGATCTGGGATGTAAAAATGATACAGTGGGGACAAAGGGAAGAAAAATGGTAAAAATCTTCATCTCCTGTTGGGGGCGGTCTATAGAAAATGACAAAAAATTTAAAAAAATATATCAAGAAGTGCAAGAAAGCCATGCTATTTTGAAAATGGGGTTAATAAACTAAAAGCTAAAGAGGTCAAGTGCAGAACAGCGCATGGGGGACCCCAGGGAGAAGGAGAACTCCTTGCTGTTTTTTGTCATAACTATGTAGATCTCCAGATAGTAAGTGTGCACAAAATTTTGTTAAACTATTTGATTAAAATAGAAAAGGAAAAGAAAAAAAGAAATGAGGGGACTTAGTGAAAGAAATCTTTAAAACATTTTAATTTAAATGCCAAATTGCTCAGCCCTCAGCTAGTATCCAGCTATTTTTCCCATAACTAAAGCTACACCACTGTGTATATCACTTGAATATAATGATCAACTCTCCTCCATAGTCTTCCAGTATGAAGACAGGGAATTTTTCGAATCTTACCTCAAGCAGAGCTGCTGCAGGATCACCCTGTAGACTTTTTCCCAGTTTGTCAACCTCATCTAATAGGAACACTGGGTTGTTCACTCCCACAGTCTTCAAGCCATTGATGATGCGCCCAGGCATGCTGCCAACATAGGTGCGCCTACAGTAAGCAAGCGGCACATTCACAGTGTGAGATGTCAGGAGGCAGGAGTGACACCATTTAGAAATAAAAACGTAGGAATGTGAAAAGATCATTCAGCCATCATAATAATAAAGCAAAGAGGTACTATGTATTTAAAAGGCACTATGATAAATCGAAAGTTATTACATTCAATTCTAACCTTCTACTAATTCTGGCTGCAAGTTGCCCATGAAACACAACACTTGAGTTACCAGTTAAGGTTCTCATTCTTCAAGATTCCAAAATGTCTGAAGTACCCTATGAATTCCATGGTTTCCATGACTTTTCAGAACATCCCCCTACCCAACACAACCGCCTTTATACACACTAAAATGGCTGCCCCAAGGCCAGCTAAAACATCATCATCTTCATGAAGGAGATTTAAATCAGTTCAAAGAGTCACTCAGAATGTAGACCGAAAACAAACAAAAAAAGAAAAACTTTAGTCTCTCTTATTTTCAGAGGTAATAATTTTATTTTCAGAGGTATAATCTGTTAATTACACTAAGAGTATCTGGGGTCAACAGTATTTATATCAGAATTCCATTATTCTGGCCTTTTGAACAAAACTATATTCATCACATATGCACTGATTGACAATAACTATGTTCAGCCAGCCATATATTTTGTTGAGTGCTAAAATGTGAGAGGCTGCTTTATCATATTTGGACAAGAATCACCCACATAATTATGACAGATATAGAGTGTGGCATGAAATAAAAACATACATGTGTATCAAACCAAAACAGGTGCCTTTTTTACAGAGACAGCAAAACTCAAAGCAGCAATTTACTAATTTTAATTACAACCTTGCTGTCTATGTTGCGCAAAGCAAATGCTGTTTCTGAAAACGCATAAAAGCCTGACTGCCTAGGAGAAAATAATCAATGATAAGTGGAACAACCACAGTTATCTCATGATCTGCACAAAGCCGATTCACAGAGCAGGCCTCAACTCTGCCACATGACTGGTATAACATAGGACAGAATAAAAAAAAAAAGTGATCTTTGAAAAGACAAGCCTTAAAAACATCATGGGAATGCCTTTCACCAGGGAAAAGTGACCAAGGCATGGGAACCAAATACAATAAACATTATCCTGTTAATATAAGTAATTAGCACATTCAAGATTTCAGAATCAGGTACAGGAAAGACAAGACTCAGAATTAATAAAGTCTGTCAAATCATTTTTCTAGAGAACTTACAGATTTGCCATTACTCTGATTTTTAGAGTGGTAGGGAGGGGAATTTTTAAAAGAATCTCAAAGCCTCTAATGGGTCATTTTTTTGCGGCAGCTATTTATTTGCCTTTCCTTTTTTGATGAGTAAATCTCAAAAACTGGTACTGACAATTCTACATCTAAAGTCACAGAGAAAACAATATTCTAGGCAGGTACCGTTTCTAAAAAAAAAGTGGAATCCTAGATTCTAGTCACGCTATATACAAACAATTCCTCTTACACTTTCCATTGCTTCCCAGAGCCTACAGAATAAGGTTCAAATTCCTTTGTCTGGAGTTTGAGGCTTTTCACAATCCAGCTCCCATTTGTCTTCCCAACTTGCTGCCATTACTTTCTTGCTACATCCACAATCAAGATCCTATTACGCCATTTAAACATTTTTACCTTTGTTAATATGGTGCCTTCCTGCCCTTAATATTTCTTTTCCTGCCTACGTAAATCCCAACAATTCTAAGAAACTTTTTTCTGACTACGTCTCAAAAAGCGATTGCTCTAATAATGCACTACCTACAGCATTTACTGGCCCCATAATTCATCTGATGCTTACTTATGACCTAGTTTTTATTCATAGGTATGATAACTTCCTCTAAAGAGCCAGTGAGCACTTTTATGACATAGATGGGATTTTACCACAGAGTAGAGGCTAGATATACAGCTGTAAGATTGTTCCCCACCATCATACCAGCACTCAAAGCAGCTTTTCATCACCACTCTTAAGGTTATATAGTATAAGCCTCTGAACACTATTTTGGGCAAATTACTTGACCTAAGCCTCAGTTTCCTCAACTATAAGACAGGGATAACAGTGTCAACCTGGTGGGTTATATTAATATAAGGGCCATGACAGAACACAGGCAAAGCACACAGCACAGTGCCTGGCACACAGTGAGCTTTCCAATGATGCTCACGGTTATTAGCAACAGCTACTTAAAGTCTACTTCTGGCTTCCTGGAAAAAGTACAAGAGCAGAAATCAGTACACCTGAATTTCAGTCCCACTTCCATTTCTGCCTCATGGAAGCAACTTTTGCAAATGACTTTTATAGCAGACAACAGAGAAAAACATAGTCATTTCACCATCCACTTTTCCTACCTAGTCAATTAAAGGGCTTCCACAGGCTATAATGCAAACCATTAAAATAAAATTTATAAAGAATCTGGAATACAAAAGAGTTTAAGTGTTATAATGTTAGGTGATAATGACAGGATTACAATTCTGTTACTTAAAATCCAGTAAGTCTGGCAGAACAAAATGAAATACTGACAGTGATTACCTTTGTATGGTAGAAAAACATGAGAATTTTTTTTTCCTTTCTTTTTATTTTCCACATTTCTACCAAGCAGGGCAGGGGGTGTGTGTGTGTGTGTGTGTGTGTGTGTGTGTGTGTGCGCGCGCACGTGCATTTCAAACAGGAAAATGTAATCAGTTTAAAAAATACCTAAATGATCTCAAAAAGAAAACGTGTCTTTAAGAAACTGGGATTTTAGTGTATAATAGCATGTCTAAACAAATGCAATTCTTCTTCTTCTAGGAGTCCTTCCTAAATCTTTTTATAATTTGGATGAATGTACTCATCTAAAGGGTTGCATAACTTCCAAAATATTATAATATTATGTGAATTCACAAAACACCTGTCGAGCACTCACCATGTTTAGCACCATGTTAAATAAGCACCATGGGGTATATAAAGAAGATACACAACAAATCTCCTGCCTGAGAAAGCTTGTACTTTTTATAAACTTATTTATGTTCATCTCCACAGCTGTATGGTAGAAATCCCAGAGGCCCGTATTCTATAAAGGAGCACTATAGGTGGTCAGTTTAGGGAAGAGTAAAATCATGACTGACTGCACTTATATTAATGGAGGAAGCTCTGGGTTGAGGACTTAAAATATACCTAAGTTTTAGAGAAGCAAAGAAGAGCTACATGCAAACACAAGCTGAAAGAAGAATAGTGGGGAAACCATAATATATCTGGTACACTATGCTAAAAAATATATTAGAAGCTAGCTGCTTCAGCTATTTTTCCCTTGTAGAAACTAATAAAAAAATAGTTTATTTATAACTTTACCATTTCAGGTTGCATAGGAAAATGTATCAATGTGGCAATCACAAGTTCATTTTCCTTCTCATCTTGTTTGCAAGTTGAGCCAAGTATTTCTCACGACAATATAATTGTATTATCTAAATAAACAGCTGGTAGAGTATTTCTAGGAGTCAAATATCCTAGAAATATTCTACCAGCTGTTTAATATCAATTAACTCCTAGAAATATTATGATCAATAATATATCATAACAATAATATATTCTTTTTACCAAAGAACAACAAATGAAAAGCAATTATGCAAACATGATTTCATAAAACTTCATCCTAAAAGAAATAACTTTATATAAAATTTGCATGAATTGATACAAATTATTTAAATGTAATATTTAAATATAAAATTTAAGTTGAAGAAACTTAAATTTTTCTAGAAGGGAATGGGTATTTTGTGGCTTATAAAGTGGACAGAAAAATCACAATGGAAATAAACCCAAATGAGAAATGTTGAGAAGGCTGAAAAACTCAATGAGTTAATAGGGAACATAAACATTACTCTTCCATTAAGCTGCTCAAAATTGACAAAAATGAACTAATGTTTAGTCAGATCACTATTATTTTCCAAGTTTAAGATTAAATGTAAGGCAAGCCTTTCTTTTTCTTCCTGATCTCCCACCTCATTATTATTTAATCTTTAATCCTAAAAAACATATCTTTGCTTGTTTTTAAAATCAATCCCCAACTTATCAGCAGCCTCCTTCTCATACACAGGTACTTTAAGCAAAAGGCCAGAGTTTCATAGTGAGAGTGAGTGGCAAAATCGAGAGGAACAGCAAGGGCGATAACAAAGCAGCTCTCTCTTTCCTTGGCTAGTCCTAGACTGTGGAACATTGATGCCTACTCAGAGGCTGAGGAAAAACAAAACTTTTCATGAACTCTAACTGTGAGCACATGACCGGTACTAAAATGCCAAGACCTGGGTGTCTCCCAAATGCCTCAAGTGTCACATGGAACCACATGTTCCCACAGGCACACTCATGGTTGTGCTGGAATTGTTGGCTGTTCTTTCTCTCCTCCTATTCACCTTCAACTCATAACCCTGACCTAAGTGCATGCTCTGCCCTCACCCTTCCCTCAACAACTGAACCCCACTACTCTCCACATGCTTCCAAACAGGGTTTGAAATAAAAACTTTCACCAGGCTTTAATAATTTATGGGGTAGATGGGTAATATGTCCCCAACAGCACAAAGGCTGGTTGCTGTAGTAGTTAATCAAACATCTGTACACTGATGGCTAGGTAACACTTACCAGCAAGGTATATCTGAAATCAGGCTGAATAGAATGATTCACAAAACAAATCCTTACACTTTTTACTTGGCAGCAATCACAGCCTCCATATATACATTTCTAAAAAGGCTATATTTACAAATATTTTAGGCAATGGTTATTGTAACATGACCTCCTTTTACAAAAGACTCATAAAGTCAATTCTTATTTTCTTTAGACTCAATTTTCTTAATACAGTCACACACACAAAAGCATATTCACTTGAAAAAAAGAACAAATTTTATATGTCAGTAAAGATTTAAAACAGAGATTTATTTTAATCCAACAATGTTCATAAGTAGTGAGAATCATGACACTATACATCGTCCATTAATGGTCAACAGAAAAATGCATTTTCCCCAAATTTTCCGTATAAATTAAGTACTAATCCTGAGAATAGGATAAGTATTTTAGAAAGCAATTTGAAAAATCAAACTGAAAGTTATAAAATGTCATATTGAAGCTTGTAAATCTAAACTTGTCCTCCTGAGAAATTATTAATAGAATTAAAATATGGTTAAAGCTAATTTTTAGTGAATGCTCACTGTGTACCAGGCATTGAATAAGTGCTTTCCAAACCTTATCAAATAATCAATACCAATGCGAAAAGAAATAAGAACAAATAAAAATAAATTACCTACATGTTACGTGGTGATGATGTCAATAGCATTAATTCCACAAACTCACTCTGTAAATCCCATCGAATACTTACTCTGCAGCTAAAATTAGAAGATTTAGGCCCTAGACACAGCTTCTTTAAGTTTAGTTCGAGAGTGATGCAATTCCTTTACAAAAGCAAACTACAGCCTCTAGTGGTACATGCAAGAATAAGAAGTCTAGGCAACAAAAATATCTTTTGAAATTGCCCGAGGAAATCACCCAAATCAATTATCTACTCTGAACTGCAACCCTCATTGTTCACTAAAATCCTGTGATGATTATTTTTTAAAATATATTATTTTTTTTTTTTTAGAGATGAGGTCTCGCCATGTTGCCCATGTTGAGCTCCTGAGCTCAAGCAATCTGCCTGCCTCGGCCTCCCAAAGTGCTGGAATCACAGGTGTGAGCCACCATGCAAGGCCAGTAATGATTCTTTTTTAATGCGTAAGAATTTTAAGTGAGCAAAAAAAAAGAGAATAAAATAACCATTTCTCATAGAAAAATTTCTGAAACAGCTTCCCATCCCTGTCTATGGATAGGGATTCCTTTGAATAAGGCAAACAGAAAACAAGATATTAAAAAAGCATCACATTCTTTTATAAGAAGTTCACAGTTCCTACATTTAGATACGTTCTTTAACACATACACTATAGGTATGTTTTCTTAGAACTTACAATTGCTATGAAATCCTTAAACCATGAAATGTAAATTCATGCTTTCCCAAGGCATCCTCCATCAGATCAACAGAGAGATCAGTGAGAACAATGAATGCAACTTGCAAATCTGATTCTAATAATGTCAGATTAATCCGAGACAGTTATGTTGTTGTTGTTTTTTTGTTTTGAGACAATGTCTCTGTCTCCAGGCTGGCATGCAGTGAGACAATTGTGGCTCACTACAGCCTGGACCTTCCCAGCCCCAAATGATTCTCCCACCTCAGCCTCCTAGGTAGCTGGGACACAGGCGCATGTCACTGTGCCTGCCTAATTTTTTAATTTTTGTAGAGACAGCATTTCCCTATGTTGCCCAGGCTCATCTCAAATTCTTGGGCTCAAACAATCCACCCACCTGAGTCTCCCAAAGCGTTGGGATTACAGGTGTGAGCCTCTGTGCCCAGCCTGGAGAGACAGTTCTTACGATTTTTTTTTTTTTTTTTTTTAATAGAAAGTGAGTCCAAAATGCAAGAATAAGCCTTGATAATTATGCTAACATTTATCCTTATTACTCATATTCATAATAGAAACCAACTTCATAAAAGGAAGTTTAGACTGCAATCCGAACAAGTGTGTTATCAAAGACTTCTCACCTTCTCCTCTTAGCCCTCCCTACTGCAGTTTTTTTTTTTTTTTTAACTCCAAGAGTTAGGGGTCATTATTTACGGAATGCTACTGGGCTGAAAAGAGTATAAAGACACAATAATATCCAATCATAACTTACAATTATATCCAAATGAGATTCCAGGAAAGCTGAGGCACAGAGTAGGTACCCACTGTGATATAAATCAAGGTTAGTTTGGATTTATCATTATGCTTAGAGGCTATAGGCTAGCTGATAAGTCTTATAAATGCTCTTTCCATTCAAAGTACCACAAACAGCACTTTAAGGAAAATATATGTATGCTATGCCCAAGCTTTTAGGGAGCTTCGTCAAGTAAAGAGAAGAGGAATCAGAGATTAAACTGAGAGAAGCGTTCTACCTGTGTCCTCGAATGTCAGACTGATCACATACTCCTCCAAGCGCAATCCTGTGGAACTCTCGACCTAGAGTCTTGGCCACTGATCTTCCCACGCTTGTTTTACCAACTCCAGGAGGGCCAACAAAGCATAGGATTGGGCCCTTTAAGTTATTTTTCAGCTGTCTGACAGCCAAGTATTCCAGTACTCTTTTCTTCAATTTTTCCATGGCATAATGGTCATTATCCAGAAGTATCCGGGCTGCCCTAATGTCCAGGCGGTCTGTTAAATAACCCAACAGAAACAATTAGAACACATAAAAATTTTAAGTTAAAGAACTCCTTTCAAACATGATGAGAGCTATATATATATATATATATATTTTTTTTTTTTTTTTAAATAGATGTGGTAAGAAGGCTTGGATCCTTCTAAATGAGGCTTCTAAATGATCTAAATTTGGTTTGGTTTCTCTGCTTAAGACTTAGTGTCTCCAGAGATAGTAGGTACTACACAATTAAAAACTCAATGTTCATACCATTTTATTTGGAATGATTTTCTAGTTATACGTTACTTCTTATAGAGATAAAATTTCTACATATTCTACATATTCTATGTGTGCTGGCATTTGTTCCTTTTTAAAAAGGGTGATTTTCCCCTTAGTTCAACAGCAATATATGTTAATTCCAGAAAAGCTGATAACACTAATAAAAAAGAAGAAAACAATTACCCATAATCTCATGCCCTCAAGAGATCACCACTACCTTTACTTCAGTATGTACTATTCCAGCATGTATGCATGCATTTACAAACCTAATTTTCAAAATGGGATTTTATGGGGCCTTTAAGTTTTGTAAGATGTTTTTTCACTTAATGTATTACAGACAACTTTGACTGTCACACGTATTTTTCAGTAATATTCTATGGCTACTTAATATTCCCTTACTTAATTATCTATATTCATTTAATTCCCTATTGCTGAGCGTTCAAGTTGTGTACGTATCTTTACACTTATAAAAAATGCTTCACATTATGCATCACTGTAACTAAATCTTCCCATATATCTGCAATGATTTCTTTCAGCTTGTCTTCTATGAACAGAAGTGCTGGATCAAAAAGAAAAAAAAAAAGATAGTGTAAAGAATTGCCTAATTGCCATACAGAAAGTTGTATCAAAGTCTCACCAGAAGTGTATCAGTTAGGCTTTGTTTCTAGAGCCAAGCTTTCAACAGGTTTACTAATATGCTTTAGCATTTAAAATACTCAGATTAAATGCCAGGTAACAGAAACCAAAATGACTTCACTAGCTGGATGGCTGCCAGGGGATAATACACAGCCACATGATCACGCTGACAGCGAAAAGAAGATGGGAGAGAGAAATACACACAAATCCACTTTTTTAATTAATTATTTATAATGTGCTAAGCATTTTTCATAAAGGAAGAAAAATAGCCTGAGATGGTAATTTGGTTCCCAAGCTAGTTCCCCCAAAAACCTAGCTAAGCAGTAAACTATATAATTTAATTGTAGTACTACTGATTTGAGTCAGAGTTCTAGGTTAGTGACACAGAAAGGGAAGAACTAAAATTTCTTCCCCATTTCCTGGCCCCAGAACCCAACCAACGAATACAGGAATAAGTGAGAGAAAGTTTCTCAATTATTTCACAATGCTAGCCCTGACACTAAAACCTACCACAGTAAACATAAAAGAAAACCTCAGACTAATTCCTATAGCTGTAAATATTAAAATGCTAGTAAATCAAATCTACAAAGAATAATCTACTAAGTCTCAGTGGGATTTATTTTAGTTATGCAAAGATGGCTCAATGTTAGGTTATCAATATCATCATGTCCAAGAAGAGTAAGTTTCCATCAAAATATCACCTTGTACGTAAAAAGGTACTTGTTACAATGCATTATCCATTCATGATTAACACATTCAGTAAGGTAAGAATAAAAGGTAATTTAGAAAAGACTGAAAACTGTGAAGAAATTTCTTTCAAGAAATAGGCCAAGTAAAGACAATTTTAAAAGTTCTTTCAATCTTTTAAGGAAACAATTTCCATGTTATATAAATTATTTTCTATCTTTTCTATACAGGATATATTTTTCTAATTATTCTTTTTAGTGATTCAGAAAGCATTCTTCCTGTCTTGAATAACATGTGGTAACATGTAAAAAATTTTTACATTTCAATATAAATTTCTCTATTTATAATTTGAAAACTGAAATGTTATCTACTGACTCCTCTTATTTAAGATGGGAAAAACTGCAAACTATTTCCTACAACTCTTTCCTCTCTGCTTTACTTTCTGCTTTTGATTACTATCTGAGATCTCTACTTGGAAGGTAAACTTCTCTTTCAAAAATTATGAATGGGTGGCCAGGCTTGGTGGCTCACACCTATAATCCCAGCACTTTGGGAGGCCAACATGGGAGGATCACTTGAGGTCAGGAGTTAAAAGACCAGCCTGGCCAACACGGTTAAACCCCATCTCTACTAAAACTACAAAAACTAGCTGGGCATGGTGCCAGGCACCTGTAATCCTAAATTACTCAGGAGACTGAGGCAGGAGAATCACTTGAACCTAGGAGGCAGAGGCTGCAGTGAGCCAAGATCGCACGCTGCACGCCAGCCTGGGTAAAAGGATGAGACACTATCTCAAAAAACAAACAAACAAACAAACAAAAGACATTTAGGCTGGACACATTGGCTTAGGTCTGTAATCCCAGCACTTTTGGAGGCCAAGGCAGGCAGATCATATGAGGCCAAGAGTTCAAGACCAGCCTGGCCAACGTAGTGAATCCTGTCTCTAGTAAAAATACCAAAATTAGTCAGGTGTGGTCGCAAGCATCTGTAATCCCAGCTACTTGGGAGGCTGAGGCAGGACAACTGCTTGAACCCAGGAGGTGGCGGTTGCAGTGAGGCAAGATCACACCACTACACTCCAGCCTGGGCGACAGAGCAAGACTCCGTCTCAAAAAATTTTAAATATGTATCAATGACATTTTCATGGTTTTACAGCCACACTCACAATTATCTGGACACAATCCTATGTAGTCATGGTTTAGGAGCTAAATGTGACTCCTTTTATACCATAATTTACTCATCTCCAGTTCTTTGTTGAAATGCTAAATAATGGAATTATTTTCATCATGGATACATGGCTGCTATACATATCTAATGCTGACACACATGGCACCTCAGAGTACCAAGAAATATTTCAACTAGAAAGCAGTATTTTGTCATGACATGCAAACATTAAATAAATTAAAAAATAAATTTACTACCACAGTTCACAGATTTATTTCTTGATATTTTATTGTATTAAATATTTTACATTATTTATTATTATTATTATTTTTTTAAAAATAGAGTCTGGGTGTCCCTGTGTTACCCATGCTGGTCTCAAACTCCTGGGCTCAAATGATCTACCCACCTTGGCCTCCCAAAGTGCTAGGATTACAGGAGTGAGCCACTGTGCCCGGCCAACTTTATTTTTAATAGCCAAAAAACTGGAAACAACCCAAACGTCCATCAATAGGTGAATTGATAAACAAATGATGGTATATCCAGACAACAGAATACAACTCCAGCAATAAAAAGAAACAAATTACTGTTATATATAGCAACATGGATGAACCTCAAAATAATCATGCTGAATTAAAGAAGCCAGAACAAAGAGCTCATTCTCTATGATTCCATTTATATGAAATTTTAGAAAATACAGATTAATCTTTAGTGGTTGCTTGGTGGTTGGGAAGCAAGGAGGAAATAGGTGGGGAAGAAGGAAGGGACTAACAAAGAGCATGAGGTAACTTTTGGAGGTTATGGTTATGCTCATTATCGTCTTACGTGATGGTATTACAGGTGTATACGTAAGTCAAGACTCATCAAAATGTACATATTACATTTGTGAAGTTTACTGTATGTCAATTACACTTCATTAAGGCTCAAAAAAAAATCCCACAAAAAAACCTTTCTCTATAGAGAAATTAAGGGCTGGCCGTGGTGGCTGACGCCTGTAATCCCAGCACTTTGTGAGGCCGAGGCAGGTGGATCACTTAAAGTCAGGAGTTCAAGACCAGCCTGGCCAACATGGTAAAACCATGTCTCTACTAAAAATACAAAAACTTAGCCGGGCATCATGGCGGGTGCCTGTAATCAAGACTACTTGGGAGGCTAAGGCAGGAGAATCGCTTGAACCTGGGAGGTGGAGGTTGCAGTGTGCTGAGATCATGCCACTGTACTGCAGCCTAGGTGACAAGAGTGAAACTCCATCTCAAAAGTAAATAACTAAATAAGAGAAATTAAGGAAACAATCTCATTTACAATAGTCTCAGAAAGAATGATATACTTAGGTACAAATTTAACCAAAGCGGTGAAAGGTTTATACACTAAAAATTATAAAACACTGATAAAAGAAGTTAGACACATATAAATGGAAAGATATTTTCATAGACTAGAAGAATATGGTTAAACTGTCTATACCACTCAAAGCAATCTACAAGTTCAATGCAACCCCTATTAAAATTCTAATGGTATTTTTCACAAAAATAGATTAAAAATCCTAAAATGAATAAGAAATTACAAAAGACCCTGAACAGCCAAATCAGTCTTGAGCAAGAACACAGCTGCAGGCATCAGACTTTCTGACTTCAAGTCATATTACAAAGCTACAATAATCAGAGAGTATGATTCTGGCACAAAAACAGACACACGGACCAATGGAATAGAATAAAGAGCTCAGAAATAAACCCTTATAAGGTTACCTAGAAAGTCAACCAATTTTCAACAAGTGCACCAAGAATATACAATAGGTAAAGGGCAGTCTCTTCAAAAAAATGTTGTTGGGAAAACTGGATACCCATATGCAGAAGAACGCACTTGAACCCTTATATTACACCACTGCACAAATATTAATTTGAAATGGATTAAATACTTAAATATAAGACCTGAAACCATAAAAATCCTAGAAGACAGTATATTTTAAAAGGTCCTCATTGGTCTGGGCATGATATTTTTGGATATGACACCAAAATTAAGGCAATAAAAGCAAAAAAATAAACAAGTGAGATTATATCAAACTAAAAAGCTTTTAAACAGAAAAAAAAATCAGCAAATGAGAGGTCAACCTATGTAATGGGAGAAAATATCTGCAAACCGTATTATCTGATAAAGGGTTAATATCCAAAATTATAAGGAACTCATGCAACTTAATAGCAAAAAATCAATAGGTACTTATCATGACTAATCATCAGGGAAATGCAAATCAAAACCACAATGAGAAAGCACTTTATGCCTGTTAGGATGGCCATTACTTTAAAAAAAAAAAAAAAAAATCACCAGTGAAGGTGAGGATATGGAGAAAAGGGCACCTTCGTACACTGTTGTTCAGAATGTAAATTGGTACAGTCATTATGAAAAGTTACTTAAAAAGTATGAAAGTTACTAAAGAAGTTAAAATAGAACTTCCATATGACTCAGCAATGCCACCTCTGGGTAAACAGCCAAAGGAACTGAAATCAGGATCCCAAAGAGGCATCTGCACTTGCATATTCACTGCAATATTACTTACAATAGCCAAGATACAGAAAAAACTGAAATGTCTATTGACACATAAGTGAATAAAGAAAATATGGTATAGACACACAATGGAATATCATGAAGCCTTAAAAAAGAAGGAAATCTTGCCATCTGTGACAACATGGATGGACCTATAGGGCATTATGCTAAGTGAAATAAGCCAGACACTGAAAGACAAGTACTGTATGATTTCACCTATTTAATACATGTGGAATCTAAAATAGTCAAATTCATAGCATTAGAGAGTAGATTAGTAGTTGCCAGGAGATGAGAGGAGAAGGAAATGGGAGGTGATGGTTAAAGGAAACAAAGTTGCATTTATGCCAGATAAATAAGTTCAAGAGATCTACTATAAAGCAAAGCACCTATTGCTAACAATACTGTAATGTATACTTAAAATTTGCTATAGTCTAATTTAACATTAGACCTTATATTCAATGCTCTTACCAGCACCAAAAGAAAAAAAGCCAATAATAATGATAATAATAATAATCACAAAAGAGGTAAGAGGAAACTTTGGAGGTGATGGATATGTTTATGGCTATGAAGACAGTGATGGTTTCGTAGGTGCATACTTATTCTGAAACTCACTGAGATGTATGTATTCATTAAATACACACAGCTTTTTGTATGCCAATCGCACTTCAATAAAATGGTTTCAAAAAATTAAAAATAATTTAACAGTAAGACAATCAGTGGAGTAAATTTGAAATGAAAAATTGCATGAGCTTTCTGAGTGACAATTAGACTGCAAAAATGGTGTTATTTTGTGGCTTACCAGTTGTACTTTTGTTCCAAGGAAGTTCTACCATCAGTTCCAAATAATTTCTAGTCAGAGCATATTCTGGCATTGACTGAGGCATTTTTTTGAGTCTGTAGAGAAAGAAATACATAGCAAACATGTTCAAGAACACAGAAAAATTATGTAACAGAAAAATCAAACACATCTCTCTTTCTTGGTTAGATCTATCATGCATATTTACTTAAACAAATCTGAAAAAGTTTTAAAGTATCCAGTTAATGAAATGTTTATTTTGTTTTCTAATGTAATAATCACTACACCTATCTCTCTTACCGGCCCACTTTAATGCCCCTTCTCTAGTACCCCCAGGGAGGAGTTCTTCCCTTCTGCTCTGCTTCTCTACAATGCATTCTCCTATTTTGTAAGTACTTAATGTACTTACAAAACAAAATAAGACAGACACCTGTGAACTGCAGGAGAAAGCAGTATATCTAATTCTAGGCCAGAAATGTGGCCTCACTAGTGTGTCTCCCTTTTAAGCTCACAAGGATAGTCAAGTGACACATATGTACTGGTTTACTTATCGCAATAAGATGTAAGTGACTGTGCATAATACGATAATTTTATTTTTTTGTATCAGAGATGAATGAGGTCTGCTCATAAAAGCAAGCTAACATATATTTAATAACAAATGCTACTTCCATAATATATGCAGTGCTTAGCAAAGTGTTCTACACATAATAAATGTTCTACACATATTAAGTAATGTCAGAAGCAATATAAAATACCCATCAACTACAATTACCAATGTTTTTAACTGTGAGCCTCAGAAAGTCAAATATTAAGTCACTATGCATTCAAACAGGCTCACTACAATTCACTAATAAAAGAAAATGCAATAAAAGTTCTAAAGCTAAAAGTATGCAAAGGAAAAATGGCTTTCAGTTTAATGCTGGGGATATACAGAAAATGTAATCAACCTATATACCCTATTCTGTTATCAAGGTTTCCCTGTACTTTGTCTTGTACAAAGAGAAATGGAGAGTCCTTGCCCTTGAGAGTTTACAGTCTAGAGAAAAAAAGTCACATTTGAAGAATACAATGCTAACTGAACAAACATTATGTGTAAGAAAGGCAGCATGGTCCATTCTTTCAGACAACAAAAAGGCTGCTGCAAGAGTTATACAGCTTGACAGCACACTGCAAGTGGAAGACTTGTATCATGTATTCTCAGTATTTGAGAAAAGAGTAATGCAAGTGGTGTTAATCAAGAGTACTAAGGACGTTTTAAAAATTAGATTCTGGTTGAAGGATGAAGAAAGGGGAAAGTACTCCAGAGACCAAAGATATAAACCGAGAATCAGGAAAGCCATGAAAGATGAGAATTGGCAATGAAAAGATCAAATGAGTAGGGCTGTCTATAAACATGTTAAGCATAAGACAATGGAGAAAGATCAGAGAATATAAAACAAATGAGTCAGCTTTCATTTTGTGATCCAAAGTGCAGAATCAAGTTTCCATGAGCAACAATTTTCAACATTAATAAGCAAAATGAAAACAATAATGAACAAATGCCTTTTATAATTTACCTCTTTATCTCTTTGACACAGACTTTATGGGCCTGCTCTGGCATACTAGATGTTCGTATTTTTTTCTCTAGCATGACAATGTCATCATTATCTTCATCATCATCTTCATCTTCTAAAGTACCTGGGATATGTGTAATTCTCCTAATGGGGCGTATTGCTATAACCTAACGTAGAAAGCAGAAGAGTAAATCATATGTCAAAATAAATTGGAAATGAAGTACCCAGGTGCACATAAAATTATGATTGGTGCTGAATAAACATTTTTATGACTATAGTCTATATGTTTAGGAAGCAAAGCTCAGAATAATAATCAAAAGGCAGCTGTACATATAGAGGCAGCACAACTGCAAAAGTAGACCAACATAAGGTAGACATGATTCTTTGGTATATGCTTATAATAATACTTGCATGAGAAAACAAATTTCAAGGAACTGGATACTAGAAATAATTAAAACATCTAGGAACTATCTTTCTTTGAGCTACTATTGCAGCCACCATTTTCTTGATATATATTACTTCCTACTATCTGGTGAATGAAAAAAATTCCATTCTCTCTCCTATATTACAAAATTTCTTCCTAGCATGTTCAACCTTTCCAGCACTGGCTCTATTTTGTATTCAAAGCTTTCCTGCTTTTAAAATATTTTTTTCTTACCTCTAGTTCCTTTCAGTTAACTACCTCAGTATTTGCTTTCCTCCCTGTGAGGTAATGCTTCTCTAAGAAGCGGCTATAACCACCACAACCACTACCTCATCAATTACTTCAGTGAGCTCTTGCCATCTGTTCCTAGCCTGCCAAAATTGTTCTTTCAAATCTAAAAAACATATTCTGTGCAAAGTTAAATGACCATTGTGTTCCCCTCTATGATCTCTCTATCATATGTTAAAACTACCTTATGTGCTCCTTGAAATTCATGAATAAGCAACCATTACTGGAGCAAAATAATATACTAGCATTTAATTTAAAAGCCTCCAGAACATTTTACTTTCTGAGACAAGGTCAAGCTTTGTTACCCAGGCTGAAGTGCAATGGCACAAACACTGCTCACTTCAGCCTCAACCTCCCTGGCTCAAACGATCCTTCCACCTCAGCTTCCCAAGTAGCTGGGACTACAGACATATACCAGCATGCTGGCTAATTTTTTAAATTTTTTTGTACAAATGAGGTCTCACTATGTTGCCCAGCCTGGTCTTGAACACCTGGCCTCAAGCGATTTTCCTTCCTTGGCCTCCCAAAGTGCTGGGATTATGGACATGAGCCACCACACTAAGCCCAGAACTTATTTTTTAACCTGGAAAATTTATCTATTTAATACATTCAAATATAAAAATGTTCAAAACATAAAGCAGTAAATAAAAATTTAATTTGATAAAAACATAAGTATTAATATACGTTTTTCTTCTTATATAAGTCATTAGCAGACAAAATTATAAAGAATAAAAAACTGAACACATTATATATTTTTTAAAGTGAGACTTTTATAAGCATATCAGTAATTTCACTGTTAAGACAAAAGCACTTTTTTATGCTTTTTTCCCTCGTCTGCTAAAATGGTGCTTTTCAACTCTAAGGGGAATGAAAAGGAGACAGTTTTAGGCTAACTCCAAATATTATCCTCTGATTCTTACTTTTTAAATAACTATCTTTTGTTTGATCATTTTCTGGAGCACTTGTGAACAACTTTCATTTTAAGTGATGGCAACCTTTATTGAGAGTAAGTTGCAGTTTTCTGCAACTCCCACTAGATTTGTCTTTCTGCACAAAATGAGTAATTGAGTCCCTGATCTGATCTCAAGCCAGAAATAATCCAGCTTTCTGCATGTTTTAAACAGCATGGTGTCCTGGAGTACTAAATGCCAGCATGATGACCACTACTCCTATCTCTCTCCTCAGCCTACTTTACTTCCCCTTCTCTAGTCCCACCAGGGAGGAGTTCTTGCCTTCTGCTCTGCTTTCTCTACAATGTATTCTCTTTGATGACAAAACATTTCTGTGCTGATGAACATCAAATTGCTAACATAATTCTCAACACTTCACTTAAGTCAGTTCTGCATCTCCAACAGCCTTCAGAGAACTGCCATTTTTACATCCTGTCCATATCAAATATATCTTCCTAATCTTAACTCTGTCCAGATATAAAAATAGTAAAATCAACAGATCAAGGTAGACGTCAAACAGATCCCATCATACATATAAATGTAATAGATGATAATGGGGATGGGAAGGATTATTTAATAGAGGTGTGGAGTCAAACAAAAAGCTATTTGAGGGAAAAATACAATTGCTGTCTTCAAAATAAATAATATATGGGTTAAATAATTATTATTATTATTATTTTGAGACAGAGTCTCACTCTGTCACCAGGCTGGAGTGCAGTGACCTGACCTCAGCCTCCCGCGTTCAAGCGATTCCCCTGCCTCAGCCTCCCGAGTAGCTGGGACTACAGGTATGCACCACCATACCTGGCTAATTTTTTAAAATTTAGTAGAGATGGGGTTTCACCATGTTAGCCAGGATGGTCTTGATCTCCTAACCTCATGATCCACCCGCCTCAGCTTCCCAAAGTGCTAAGATTACAGGCATGAGCCACCATGCCCAGCCAATTAAATACTTTTAACAAAAATCAACTGAAGTTAAAATGAAAGGAAAGTGAATATTTATCAAGCCACTAGAGGCTAGAGGGCTTAAGCTTAGAAAACAGGAAAAGATCAAGATTTGACTAAGGAAAATGGAAACTTTTTATAAGCTGAAAACAGCCAAATTTTGGCACAATATATGGTCCTTTTAGGAAACAATTTTGCATTTCTTTCTTAATACTACATGCAGTAAAACACTGTTATACTCAAAGACACCCATCATATCATACTTATTTGTTAGTGTTTACAATATGCAAAACATTGGAAACAACACAAAAAGGGAAATGGCTCAGTAAATTATCCTTTGGGATGATAACCAAAATAAAATGAGAAAAATGCTTACATGCTTTATAAAAAAATCCAGACTCACGCCTGTAATCCCAGCACTTTGGGAGGCCGAGGCGGGTGGATCACGAGGTCAAGAGATCGAGACCATCCTGGTCAAAATGGTGAAACCCCGTCTCTACTAAAAATACAAAAAATCAGCTGGGCACGGTGGCGTGTGCCTGTAATCCCAGCTACTCAGGAGGCTGAGGCAGGAGAATTGCCTGAACCCAGGAGGCATAGGTTGCGGTGAGCCGAGATCGC